TTATCCATGAATTTTTTGAAGCCCCGCTTTGTACATTTGTTAATAAGCAATGCCAGGTAAAAAACAGAGTATTTTGTAATATCTATGGTATCAACAGCAATAGGCAGATTCCTTGTTACTTAAAAAAAAAAAAATCACTCATATTCCACAGCCAGAAGAAAAGCACTAAAGTACTCGAGACATTCTAAGTTTCTAAATGAAAATTCCTCTAGGTCAGTAGTAGACAATAATAAAGGAAGATAACACAACCAGGGATAGAAAGTTGCCAGGGAATTAGAAAAGTATCTGAAAACATTGAGTTTCTCAAATATTTTGTACTGTATATTTGTTATATACAGTTATATACGTAATTATAAAATTACGTGCCTGAATTTTATAATCATTCCTAATTTTCAACCCTACACTGAAAAGGCTTTCCAAATAACTTGAGTTTCATACTCCCTGCCTAATTTACCAGCTAATAAACCACTGACCAATGAGGAAGAGGGAGCAAATCAAAATCACAAGTAGCTTATTTATAAATCTGCTGCCTTTGACCGCTGCAAGTTTGGGGTTACATAGTTTTATTTAACCTCATTGCAGTCCAAGAACATAAACGCTAGGTGTTTCCAAGACCTTCTAGACCTGTCTTTCTAAGCAGGGATAACTGAATTCAGAGTATTTGGAGCCACTGAAGACAGACAAGTATCTAAGCCAAGGGTGAAGACAAAGTTGTCAGAAATAACTCAAGCTTTCCTCAAAGAGGTATAACCTGAAACCATGCCAAATATCAATCTGGACCAGCACCAATGAGATTCTGCATAAACAGCGCCCACTTTTGAAGCATGGATCAAGCCAAACTGACATGACTGTTGCATATGTTTTTATAAATCAATGTGAAATGGAAAAACAAAGTGAAGCAGATATAGAAATTCTACTACCGTGCCAAGTCATTCCGAGAAATGAGCTCTATTGCTTAAGTGGCACAAGTGTGTATTACACCATCTAGTACTTTTATTTCCTATAACTCTGGAACCTAAGAATTTAAACAATTCACCTAATCTCTCCCCGTGCCCTCTCCTCTGCACCCTCATATTAAGAACAAGAATAGTTGCCATCAAGTCAATTCTAACTTCAGGTGAATCCCTGTGTCCAGACTAGAATGATTTGTCTTTCTCCAAGGTGCCGCTTAGTGGATATTAACCACCAACCTCTGGTTAATAGCTAAGCAAGTAATCATTTGCACCACCCACAGACTCCATATATTTTGTATCAATGTTAAAGGGGTAAATGAAAAATGGAAAGAAAAAAAATCCCCCATGTACAAGAAAGGTACCCTACAAAAAAATCAAACTGAACATTTCTGGGCCTTTAGGCTATGATCAAGTGTAAAAAATCAAACTGAATTATTAATCTAATAATTTTTAAATCACTTCTCAGTACAAGTTTAAGTAGCTGAGAAAGAATTGAGATAACTTAGTGTACTGAATTAATGTTCTATCACTAATTTCTATGTTCTAATATATATTGCAATGACTACAGAGAACTCATAAACAAAATTTATGATTAAAGGGTCAATTAAGGATGATAACAAGTTGTAATTCCAGTGAGAAATGCCCAAGGCAGTTGTTTATCAGGACATGTCACAAAGTTTCATGTCTGCTAATAAATGTCCAAAGGAGCCCTGGTGGCATAGTGGTTACCCATTGAGCTGCTAACTGCTAGGCCTGAAGTTCCAAACCGCTGGTCACTCTGAGGGAGAAAGATGGGGCTATCTACTCCCATAAAAAATTACAGTATCAGAAACTCACAGTTCAGTTCTGTCCTGCCCTATAGAGTCATTGTGAGTTGGCATTGACTTGATGGCAGTGAGAAGGAAAGAAAGAATAAATGCCCACAGGGGCATACCACCCTGTATCAGCCTCAACCCAAAGGCATTAAACTCAAGTGCTGTGGGTCAGGAAACCCTGCTCCCTGAATTAAGTGCCCCAACGCACCCCTCTACTAAGCCTCAGCTCAAAAGCACTCAGCCCACTACCATGGCTCAACAAGTCCAACTTCCCCATTTAAGTGCCCAGTGGTACCCCACTCAGCAACCCAGCCTCTAGCACAAAAGGATTCAAATTGCTCCTTAGGTTAAGTCTATCACTGTTGCTGCCATGAATCTGATGGCAAAGCTGTTGTCTGCATCCAGGAGGTTTACTGTGCAGGGATCTCAGGTCCAGAAGATGAACTCTACTCCTGGCTCCAGCTGGTAATGAGATTCGTTGTCTCTCCCCTCCTTTGCTTCTCAGAGAGGTCATTTTATACATTGCAGGATGCCACTTACTCACAGATGAATCCCAGACCCATTCAGGGAACGGTCATTTGGTGGGAATTAAGACACATGGAAGAAGCACAGGAGCCTGTGGGACCAAAAGGTGCCAATAGGAATAGGTATTTCAAGTTCAAAACAAAGCAATTAAATTCAGGTGAAGGAGTGTGGACAAAGTGGAGACCTAAAACCCATCTGCAAGACAATTGGACAGTCCTTCACAGGGGGGTCATCTTTAGGGGGTAGAGGGGTGAGAGAGGAGGAATTCAGGGTGCGTTGCAGTATTGATGAAACACACACCTATCCTCTGGTGCTTTAATATGTTCTCCCTTTATATTAAGGCTTATGTTTCACTTCCTTAATACTGTTAGACCTACATATGTCCATTTGGATAATTAAGCTGATTCTATGCTTAAATGCTAGGATGGATGATCCTTCAGAAAGAGCAATTGAGTAATGATTCCGAGGATACGGAAGAGTGGGGGTTGAGAGGGGGCAGGGGGAGCTGATAGCAATGAAGACTGTATAACCCCACACGAGGGGACCTAATAATAGAATTGCAGGTGAATGAATATATTGGATAGGCCAAATGCGGCTGAATATATAGAATAGAATAATAGTATATAACAATAACAAAGGTTCCTGAAGGGAAGAGTGGGGGAGGGATGGGATAAAGGGGAGCGGATGTCAAAGAGTTCAAGAAAGAAAATGTTTTTGAAACTGATTGTAGTAGCATTTATACAATTATGCTAGATCTATTTGAGTCATGGAATGTTATGACATCTGTAAGAGCTCCCAAAAAACGAGTAAAAAAAAAAAAGAGAGCCTTTGGCCAGAAGAACTACTTTAAATAATTCACTGCCCTGCAAAATCTACCACCCCAGGTCAAGAACTTCATTTTACTTTACACTGGAGAAAAGTAGGAAAGTAAGTATTCACTTAGTCTTGTCATGTGGATATCTATTCTGAACTGTCATCTCAGTGTGTTCAACAGGTGAGTTGTCTCATATTCTGTGTGAAACATTCAACAAGGCTCTTCAAACTTAGCTCCTTTTCCCCACGGGCTTTAAAAACATCATTTTTTAAAATGTTGATTTTGTGTATGTAGTTCTAAGAAATACGTTTTTTTTCTTTTCCCATTGATATAATACACAGGGCTTGTTTATACCTCACCAGTTTAACATACACTCATTCCCTGTGTGCCTGTGGTCTGAAGTCATCACTTGGAGCAGTGGAAAATAGCAGTGTCAGAAGACCTGGATCTCTCCACTAGCTCTCTGTGACCTTGAGTAAGCCTTAACTAAAGAAAGGAAATAATGCCTGGTCAGATTCATTATAGCATATTATTTCATTTACATAAAAGCGGAAAGACCTATTTTGGTGTTTTAAGAGATCCGGGGAAACAGTCCTTATTCCAGCCATTATTTTTCCAGAGAGCCTGGGAATAAGAGGGCCTTGTTTATTGGATTCCAGCTCTGTTGCTAGTTATTTGTGTAACCATAGGCAAGATATGTAATCTCCTTGCACTTCAATAATCTTGTAAATTTGAGACAATTTCCATCTCACAGGATTACTGTAAGGATGAGATGAAGTCATTCAATAAATTGTTACAGGTGAATTTACAATACTGAATCCAAGTACAAAATCTCTGGTCTGGATCAGAAGATAATTCTCAGATCAAAACAAACCAAAACATTCCAAAGTTTAGCTGTGTACCAGTGATATGTGCCTGATAAATACAAGGAGGTCACAAAGGAGACAAAGATCAAGGGTGATGGCACACACAACATACACCTACCCATAGTAGGGCCTGGCACTGAGTAAGTGCTGATAAACAGCCATTGGAAAAGAATTGAATTTGAATCCTAACTCTGTCATTTCCACACCAAGGGACTCTGGGTACATTACTAACTAAGCTGGACCTAAGCTCTCTGTGAAACAGTTATGAGTCTGCTTTCTCTATCTCATAGGACAGCTGTGATGGAATTACATGAGCTTGCTTCTAGTGTTAATAACACAGTAATTATGCAATATAATGACTACTGCCACCAACAGCTAAAGTCTACTTGTTGTAGGGGTAAGAAGTTAATAATGGCAGATCAAGAAAGGAATAGAACTGAGAGCTGAGAAAAACCATCTTTTCTAATCTTCCTTAATGGGAGGAGCTGGTCACTACTATGCAGGTCATCTCCAGACTTCAGGTTCTGCTGAGAAGCATCTTGCTAAGCTGAAATCAGAGGGGGTGGTGTGGTGTGTGTGTGTGTGCGCGCGCGCAAAGTGGGGGGATCCAGCAGGGTAGGGTGTGTTTGTGTGTGTGTGTGTGTAAAGTGGGGGATCCAGCAGGGTAGGGTGTGTGTGTGTGTCTGTGTGTGCAAAGTGGGGGATCCAGCAGGGTAGGTTCGCCAGACCCCGTCTTCAGTCCTGGGCCGACAAGCTGCCACTAGTCAGGTGCCTTTGTCGTTAGCCAAGCAAGAGGGTGGCAGCGCCGGCCACCTCCACCTTCAAGAGAGTGGAGCAACTGCCACACACTCCTCACCTCAACTCTCCAAAACAAACACAGGCTCGGACTTCGCTCCACGCCTCCAGTATCGCCCCGCGCTCCCGGACCCCGGTGACCCCGGGTTGGTCCCGTTCCCTGCGGCACCTGCCTCCCGGCACGTAGGCAAGCGAAGAAGCGCGGGAAACGAGGCCTAGGACGGCCACTTACACACTGTCCGCAAGCCAGGCGCCTGCTGCGGAGCCGGTCTAGACACACAGCGTGGTCGCTCCCACGGCGCTCGGCACCCGAATTCCCTCCGATGCCACCAGCTGCCGCCGCAACCTCTCCAGAAACGGAGGCGGAGAAGCCGCGGAGGGAAGCGGAGAGAGGCGGGCTAGCCTGGGGAAGGGCGCCCGTGTAGACACGCCCCAGGCCCGCCCCGGCTTTTTTCGGGCGCCTGGTGAGGTCCAACGGAGGAGGAAGGGAGGCTGGGACCTGGGGCACAGGGCGGAGGCGCAGCCCCGCCCCCGGCCCCTCCCCGCGCGGCCGCCGGGTCTTGGCGTGACCCAGTCTCTGACCCCGGCCCCCCGCCCACTTCCGGGTGCTGGACGCGCAAGCGCACTTCCATCCTTGTTTGACAGCATCTAGCTGCCCAGTGTCGGAGCAGGTGTCGCGAGAGTTGGCCGCACGGCGCCCTACTGGAGGAGCTGTAACTATGGCGAATCTGGAGACTGAGGCTGAGCAGGAACCGCTGTTAGGCGACCACACACCCGGAAGCAGGTGAGCGGATGCGGATTGGCAGGCCCTTCACAGTCCCCTCGCTGTTGAGATTCGCTCCTTTCCGGGCGTCAGCCGCACTGGGCCGAACTACGACTGTCCAAAGGGCAGCGGGGCTTCCAGAGCTCGCTGCGGGTCTGGGATTCCGGGAGGTGCTCTCCCACTGCAGAAGTGGGCGTCCGGCAGCGCTTGGCGCGGGCTGGGAGCCACGGTCCGCGGTAAAGGTGTTGGAGAAGCCCAGCTGCAGGATGGGGCAGTGTTTTGTTCTGATGTACAGCAGGTCGCTATGTATTGGGAACGGACTCACAGCACCTAACAACCTTCTATTTGACGCGTCTGGCGGCGGAGTGGTGGCTAACCGCAGGATCTCACCAGCTAACCGTCCGGCTCACCAGCCGCTCTGCGGGAGAACGGGGAGGCTTTATGCGCCTGTAAAGATTTAGTCGCCCAAACCCACCCGGGCAGTTACGCCCTGCCCTGTGGGATGGGTAGCTATGATAGGAATTAACTGGATGCCTCTGTGTGTGTGTGTGTGTGTGTGTGTACACACATTGTTGGAGAACCCAAGTCACTGCTTTCTCCGTTGGACCTTTGACAGGTGGTCACGTTATATATTTCATAAAGGTTTGGAAACAGTGGTTTGGATATGTAGTACCAAGCAACCTAACTGGTAAAGTCGTTGGGGCTGTTGAATAGTTTCCGAATCATAGTGACCCATGTGCAACAGAAGAAACTGCTGATCCTTGGCCATTCGCACAGTTACTAGGTTTCAGCCCATTGCTGCAGCTGCTTTGTCAATCCATTTCGATGAAGATCTTCCTCTTTTCTCCCACTCTTCATTATACCAAGCATAATGTCCTTTTCTAGGGACTGGACCCTCCTAATCACATGTCCAAAGTATATGAGAAGTCTTGCCATCCTTAATTCTTTTTTTTTTTTTTGCCATCCTTAATTCTAAGGGGCATTCTGGGTGTTACTTCTTTTGAGACAGATTGGTTCGTTCTTCAGGCAGTCCATACTACTTTTAGTATTCTTGACCAACATCAGAATTCAAACGCAGCAATTCTTTTGTAGTGTTCTGAGTTCATAGCCCACCTTTGACATGCGATAAATTAGGCAATTGAAAAATACCATGCCACTCGCACACCTTAGTCCTCAAAGTGACATCTTTGCTCTTCAACACTTTAAAGAGATTTTTGCCCTATGTAATAATGTAATTTGATTTCTTAACTGCTGCCATCATGAGCATTGGTTGTGAATCCAAGTAAAATGACATCCTTGACAACTTCAATCTTCCCTTTGTTTAGCATGATGTTGTCCATTGGTGTGCAATTGTGAGGATTTACATTTTCTTTACATTGAGGTGTAATCCATGCTGAAAGTGTATCCTTTGATCTTTATGAAGTCCTCATGGCTTTCATCAAGCAAGAGTCTGTCATTGTGTATTGCAGGTTAAGGAGCCTTCTTCCAATCCTGATGCCAGAAGTAAACCTGTCTAAAGTAGCCCTATGCTAAATGTACAAATAAAAGACAGAATTTTAAGCATATAAGGGATGATGTGTCAGAGTTTTAAAAATTAAAAATTAATATGTTGTGGTGGTGTTGAGAATACCCATAGCAAAGCATACACCAGTTTAACAGTTTCTACATGTCTCATTTAGTAAGTTCTTAAGTTGTTTTTACATTCTCAACCTCCCTTTCTGAGTTATTCCTACACCATTACCATAAATTCACTCTACCCTAAGGTTCATATCTAATCTTTTGAGTTACTGTTGTCACTTGGATCCTGTATAAATAGTTCTTAAATGAGCATAATGCTCAAGGCAGATGTATTTTAGTAGTTAAGGACAACTTTGGCTTTAAAGAAGACTTAAGAGGACATTTTTGGTTTAAGATTTAAAGATTGCATTAGGACACGTTTCAGGTATTCATCTAACCTTCGTGACTTTAAGAAGTATTGAGTCCTTGGGAATTTGAAATTCTCTTCTGCATTAACCTTCCTTTGGATCAGAGTATATCTTCTATGAAATCTTTTATCTAAATGTTCACTAATGCGAAGCAAGTACATCTAGTTATGGCCACACATCTCATTTCCTTGACTTTCATTCCTCTGTTGCTACAGGCAAATAGAGACCAGTTGTGTCTTAAAGGGCTACTTTTGTGATTCTAGACACTATGTATTAGACTTTGAATTAGAAGATAGAACAGAGGCACTTAACATGTGATTGGGCCAGTTAACTGGGATGTCATAGGAAACTGAATCTAAATCTCCAAACCAAGAAATCACATCCCAGGAGATTTTTGGTTGTAGACAATTTACCGTAGCTTCTCAACCAGCTGCTGTTTCTTTCTTTCTCCCTTTTTTGGCCCTTATTAAAAATATATCTATGACAGCTTACGTCAGTGCAACTTTTTACAGGTGTACTACTCGTATCCCTCTTTTTCTTTCCCCTTCCACCTTTGATAACTATTAATAAATTTTGTTCTCTCTATGTTTTCTTGTCTTTTTTACTTAAGTGAGATCATGCAAGATTTATCATTTTGTGATTGACTTATTTCACGATGTCATCCAAATCTCTTCATATAGTAGCATGTATCAAGACTTCCTTTCTTCTGTTGGCTGAGTAGTATTCATATGTGTATGTAAAATTTTGTAATAATATATATATATACATACACACCATTTTTTGCAGTATTCATATATATGTTAAATTATGTTTAGCCATTGATTTGTTAATGAGCATTTCGCTGATTCTCACCTTTTAGCTATTTTGAATCATACTGCAAAGAACATTGGTGTAAACATCTCATATGATAGTCTATTTTTAGATTTTCTTACTCTTTTATATAATTAAGGTTTTTTTTTAGGGACGTTCATATGTTACCATAAGACAGGGTCAGCAAATAGCAAAGACACAGTCATTGATCTCTTCCGGCAGCAGCCAAGTCTCTCCAGTTCTCAGCCTCTCAGCCGCATGGTCCCTTGGCCTTTGCCTCCCTGAACTAGGAAGCCAGCCTGCCTGTTACTTTGTCCCACAGTTCCGTAGTCTCAGGCCAGATATGAAGAAGGCACGCCATAGTTTCTGTGCTCCTCCTCTGGGTCTCTGTGCCACTGTCGGTGCTGCGCCTGGGCTCGGCAGCCTCTACCACCTCAGACAGACATCTTGAATGTGCTCTTCTCCCAAGGTCCTCGGGGTTTCTCTCTATTTTTAGGTTTTTGATGAACCCTCACGCTACAAGAATTAAATGATTTTTGCACTCATACCACCAATGCATTTTTTAAAAAAATTCAAGTCTATTCTGACTCATAGCAACCCTATGAGACAGAGTAGAAAAATTCAAGTCTATTCTGACTCATAGCAACCCTATGAGATTTTGAGGCTGTAAATCTTTATGGAAGTACAAAGCTTCATCTTCCTCCCTCGGAGCAGCTGGTGGTTGTGAATTGCTGCGTCTGTGGCTAGCAGCACAAAATGTATCCCACTACACCACCAAGGTTCCCTCCAGTATTGGATAAGGGTTCCAATTTTCCCACATGTTGGCAGCATTTGCTCTTTTCTTTCTTCTTTAATCGGAGTCATTCTAGTGGGAGTGGGTGGGATATCATTGTGTGTTTGATATGCATCTCTGACGTTTAATTATGTGTGCATCTTTTCATGTTTGGGGACCATTTGAGTGCTCTCTTTGATGAAAGGTGTATTCAAATCCTTTGCCCATTTCTTTTTAATTGAAAAAGTTTATATTTAGCATCAGCCAGCTGGGCTCAGTTTAGATGATTCCGATTAGTTGGCAACATCTAAAGCGTCATAGTCAGGAGCCAGTGGAACATATGCCTTCCTCTCACCGTCAGGCCTGATCAAGGTGTTGACCTTGTCTACGTCAATGTCATAGAGCTTCACAGCCTGTTTGACCTGGTGCTTGTTGGCTTTGACATCCACAATGAACACAAGTGTGTTTTTATGTTCGATCTTCTTCATGGCAGATGCTGTGGTCAAGGGGAACTTGATGATGGCATAATGGTCCAGCCTATTTCTCCTGGGGGCCCTCTTCCAAGGGTATTTGGGCCGCCTAGTCAGTCTCAGGGTCTTGGGCCGCCAGAAGGTGGGTGAAGACCAGCGGATCTTCTTTGTGTGTGTGTGTGTGTGTGTGTGTGTGTGTGTCTGTGAATGCCTTTCAACACGGCCTTCTTGGCTTTTAAATCCTTTGCTTTGACTTCTGTTTTAAGAGGGGCAGGAGCTTCCTTCTTCGCCTTCGGCGCCATCTTTGTAAAAAGGCCCATTGCCCATTTTATGTTTGAGTTTTTTATTCTGTTGAAGTTTTATATTGGTTTATTTTGGTTATTAGATTGTTACTGAATATAAGGTTTTGAATATATTCTCTCAGTTGGTAGCTTGTTTTTCCACTTTTTGTTTAGTTTAATGAACAAAAGTTTTAATTTTTTTTGAGGTCCCTTTTGTCTTTTTTTTTGTTTGTTTTTTTGCTTTTTTTTGTTTTGTTATTTTAGGTAATCTATTGCTGAAAAGTAGGCCTAGGAAGATGGCTTTATTTTTTTCTACTAAGAATCATGATTTTTGTTTTCACATTTAGGTTCTTAATCCTTTTTTTTTTTACATTTTTGTGATTCTGGTTATTTTGATGCTAGTTTACTTATGGGCAATGATTTAAATTGTTAACCATTTGTCTTTTATTGCACCATTAACCCAAAAAAACCAACCCTTCAATTCTGACCACAGCACAGAACTGTCCCATGGGGTTTTATTGGCTGTAATTGTTACAGAGGCTTACAGCTGACATGAAGCAGTCATGTTAGCTTAGATTGTTGATCTCTTGGCTAAGAACCAAGCACTCAATCACTGCACAAAGAACACGCCTTTATGGAATAGTCATAGTTTGTCTTGTCATTTCTTCTATTGCTGCTTTATCGTTACTCTGCTACCATCTTCTTTGTTCTTTTGTTCTTCAATAGCTCACTAAAGCTCTCTCTGATAAAAGCATCATTGTTC